TAGGGGAGAATTAAACCTAGTGTAAGCATTGACTTTGGAAGATTACTTTACCAAATATAAAATATATATGCTTTCTAGCATACATTTTGGGTGTCACCTAATAATATAGGTGTAAGCCTAATAGTAGTTACCAAGGAATGTAAGCGAACTAAATCTTTCATTACCACTAGATTGAAAATAGTGGATTATACCTTAATGTGATATTAGGTGTGTCTGGTTACTTTTCCCGCAGGAATTGTCCAGCAACATCTTTCTGAGAGAGTATGGTAGTTTTATTCTCTGTTGCAATGAAAATGCGAAAAATAAACAGACGGTATTCTTGCAGAAGCTTGCAACCAATCAGCTGTTTTGTTAAAACAAACCAATTTGTCCCCCATTAAAAGGATTAAAAGAAAGGAATCACCACCAATTTTACAAATTTTATAAATAAAAAGGGAATTAGCAATAAAATACAAATATGAGCAATAAAAGAAATATAGATTTTATGTGTATTGTGTATTGCATGTTAATATGTACGTTTTTCACGTTTTGTTAATTTGTTCTCCAAAAACAATTAGCCTTGCTAATTCTAAAAAATATTGGAAACACCAAAAGAAATAAACAAACAATAGACAGACAAACATCTGATTGAATGTCGATGAATGAGAAGAAGAAGTGTTGCAAGTGATTGCAAGAAGAAATTTGTCCAGCAAGAATTTGCAAACTCTAACTGCAAGAACTGTCAAAATTTCTCTCTCCGACCGCTCTCTTTTGCAGAACTTTCGGGTTAACAGACGACTTCCAGTAACAATTTGTAAAAATTGTTACAAATTTTAGGGTAACCAGACACACCTATTCTCTACCCACAGAGTGTGAGTGTAGCCGACTAGTAAGTGGTATGTCACCAACATCAAAACCAGTAAGGAAAAGTCAAAAGTCGGGCTGGCCCGACTATATGATACCCTACACCACTATGTAAATTTAGTAGAGCTCTCGTAACAAGAGAATTTATTTCAAGTAGGTCATACCATGGTACAATGAAGAGAAGGTAGGTTAACTTTGAAAAAATTGCAAGTATAGAGGTCTACCTGTTTGGCTTGTAATGTCAGAATTAGTATCAAAACAATAAAAAATCAGACAACTTGTTGCATTTATTTTGAACAAATAATTGAAAACCGCGAAAATTGAATGAAAGTTCAACATTTATTTTCAAAATCATGTTCTACATATCTCTAAAGGTTTATTTTGCTACAAAAACTGTTAATATTGTCGATGCATACGTCGAAATAAACATTTTGAAAACACCCGAATTTGAATATTTTCTAAACAATTTTTTTGTTATTTAAAATAAAACATATATATAAACAAATATAGTTGACATATTAAGCCAAGAAAATAGTATCATATCATATCATCGTATCATATCATCATGATATCATAGCCCTACCTTGATTTTATTGTACCATGGGTCATACCAACTATCAACGTTTGGCTTTAGATAAGTTATAGTTTGGTTTCAGAGGGAACTAAATATAGCAGGAGGCATATCCAATTCTGACTCGATTTTCACTTATTTTGACGGAGACATTGTAATCTTTTACACCAAATAACATATATATATAATATATATATATATATATATATATATATATATATATATATATATATATATATATATATATATATATATATATATATATATATATATATATATATATATATATATATATATATATATATATATATATACATATATATATATATATATATATATATATAGCAGCTACATCTTAATCTGAACCGATCTCGATAAAAATTGACAGAAGTATTTTCAAGCAGTGTGTGATGTCCGGTACCGAATATCATACTTGTGGAGTACATATTACGCATGTGAGGGACTTAAAATCCCAAATCGGATGAAACATATATATGGTAGCTATATCTAAATAGATTTTCTCCAAATTTGATGTAATTGTCTCTAGACTGATTTCGGTGGAATGTACAAAAATTCAGGCCATAAGGATTTATATTAGCCATTTGGTCCAAAATTAACCTGAAATCGGTTGAATATATATGGGAACTATATTAAAATCTGATACGATTATCACCAATTTCAATAGGGTTCGTCTTTGGGCCAAACAAATATTCTTTGCAAAATTTCATCTCAATCATATAATAAATGCGACCCGTATTTTGTTCACAAGAATACATGGACGGACGGAAGTACTGACATGCATAAACCGGCTCAGAAAATAATTCTATGAATATCTTCAAAAGTAACTATGGGTCTATCTCGCTTCCTTCTCCCTGTTACAAACAAATGCACAAAGACATAATACCCTTACCACTATGTGGTATAGGGTATAACCAATCCACGCAGAATTTTGTATGAGTTAAGGGTTTAGGTTGGGCAGGAGTGTACCAATTTGAATGAACATCGGATATTACTGAGCGGCTGAAGACCGTAAATTTTATGTAAATAAAAATAAAAAAACTAAAATTGCTATAATCCGCTAGTATTTTTAACATCGGCGAAATCACAAATACAGGCAAAGGTCACTTCTGATCGTAGCATTGAAGCTGATATCCATAATGTCGGATATATAGCAAAATATATAGAACCTATATGTGTCAAAAAAAAAGGGGATATTAGTAAGAGCGTACACGAATTCAGATTGGCCTCTTTGCAGGAAAGAATAAAATCTAGAAAAATCGCATTAAAAGATGGCAGAAATTTCTATTTTCATAAGTTTTATTCACTGAACTTTTTAGTCGATCTAGCTATGTATATCCGTCCGTCCGTCTGTACGTCTGTCCATGTTAATTTGTAATCACTCTACAGGTCGCAATTATTGCCCGATCTTCACGAAATTAAGAACGGAGGTGGGCTAGGGTCAGAATAGAACCCTATTGCTTTTGGAGATGATCGCATAATATTTAGGGGTTGAAATGGACCAAAAACTGAAAAAAATCCTGATTTTGCAGTTGCTCTACAGGTCGCAATTATAGACCAATCGAAGCGGAAGTTAGCATGGGGCTAGAGCTTAGGGCTGGGTAGAAGCCTTCCAATTTTGACGGTCATCGGGTAATATTGTGAAAAAGACTATAATATTTGTGATAAATAAAAGTCAAATTTCCATTATACCGCGAATACTTTTAGTCCCGGCGAAATCATAAATAGACGAACAGGTCTATTCTGACCGTTACGTAGATGCCGATAGTAAAAATATCGGATATATATGGCGAAATATATACAATGTACATATACAAAGGAAGGGGATGTTAGCTAGAATGCATATAACTCCAGAATGTCTGTAGCGATTTTGACAAATTTTGTAAATTTAGAATGTTCTTTCGGCATAAAAGTATAAAATCTGAAAAAATCGCATAAAATGATGCCAATAATGATGTATATATAGATTTTGTAGTATTTTGTGACATTTTTTTATTTTTTCATATTTTTTATCGCATGCGATGTTTTCAATTTGACTTATAATATTTTGTAATATTTTTTCGCCTTACAACACAGGTTGGGGTATTATATAAGTATTACAATTATCGTCCGATCCTCACAAAATTTTTCACAAAGGTTTAGGGGTTAGGCTCAGAAGGGCTAAGCCTATTGTTTTCAAAGAAGTCCGCAATATATTTAGGGTTGAAATGGACCAGCAACTAAAAATGTTCCTGATTTTGCAGCCGTTATAAAGGTCACAAATAGAAACCAAAGGACACGAAATCTCGCATAAAGTTAGAGTTTAGAACAGCAGGTAGAATGGACCACTACTTTTGTGTGAAAAAATACCAACATTACTTACAGGCGATATCCGAAATACACAATAGGCGAACTTCTGGTTTATGCTGATTTCGTTGACGAATACAGCCGAATATCGTAGACAAGCAAATCAACAGATGAGTCTAAATTTGGAGATACAGAGGGGACCCCTTGCTTTTGGAGATGATCGCAACATATTTAGGGGTTCAAATGAATCAAAAACAGAAAAAAATTCCTGATCACCCAATTGAAGCCAATCGACAAGCCTGAAAAGATACTTAAGCACAGTGAAGAATTCTAGCATTTTGGATGACCATTGGATTATATTTAGCCGTAGAATGGACCACAAAAACTAACAGCACGACGGAGTGCATAAATATTGGGAAAATGTCCCTGGTCAAAATGCTAAGAGTAATATCTGGGCAGTGCTCCGTGACATAATTTCAAAAGCGAATTCTTCCAAAATGGATTTGGACATGAGGGGCTTCTCATATATTGTAGTGTTGTAGGGTATCACATGGTCGGCCCCGCACGACTATAACCTTTGCTTACTCGTTTTTTTCATATTTTGTTTTTTTTTTTAATCGCATGAGATTTTTTAATTTGACTTAAAATATTGAATTGTACATTTTGTAATACTTTTTTAGACCATACAAGACTATGTGTTGGGAGTATATATACAGGTCGCAATTTTCATCCGAATCTCACGAAATTTCTCAATAGGGTTGGATTAGGGTCCTGATTTTGTAGTCACTATACAGGTCACAATCCAATCGACCAATCGACACTGAAGTTCGCATGAGGCTAGGATTTAGGCCAGGGCAAAAGCCTAACATTTTGGATGGCCACCGGATAATACATAGCCGTTGGTTTTGTCTTTCTAGTTCCATCCAAAATAACGTCTTCTGGCATCAGCCCCTTTCTTGTGTCAACGTGGTGACGTAAAATCGTTCGTCCTCCCCATTTAATCCTGAAGTTACAAATGTTTCTAAACAACGCAAACATGAAAATAACCTCTTTGTTAATATCCTTCAGACATAATTGGTTTGACAACAATTTTCTTCGTTTATCGTCGAGAGCAATTAAAAATTGTTATACTTCTTGCCATTTGTGCGACGAGAATTAGTATTTCTAGAAAAATAATACGCAAATGATCTCTTGCTTGCACCGGAACAAATTAAACTCAAAGTAAAAGAAAATAAAATGGAAAAAGAGCGAGGAGGGGTAAGAATTATAATCAAACATTTACCTTTCGTTGAAGGGTTGGTGGTTGCTTGTCGTCCTGCCATTGTGGTCGCCATTGACAGCAGCCACAACCGCAGGCATCCCAGGCAAATGTTGCTGCGGACCATGAAAAGTATATTTGTTCTGGCATGTTGTTTGGCCATGCAACAATATCCCGGCATTGTCATCATCTGAAGTGGCATTATTCATGGCTGGTAGATACTGTCTGGATGCAGTGCTGGCAGCAGCATCAGTAGATGAATTGCCAATTTCTTTCAGCATCAAGTGTGGCTGATGTTGTTGTTGCTGCTTATTCTCTTGACAAATGAAATTATTTTGAACGCAGGAATTTTTAATAAGTCCAGAATGCTGTGACAGTCTTTGGGGGTCATTGGCAGGGAGTCCGACCGCAACGGCAACAGCTGATGCTGATGACGATGTTATTGGTGACATAAAATTTGTAATGATTGTTGGTGAGGTTTCTACACGGTCTGCTTGCGTTTTGGGTTTTAAACGAATTTTCATGAGCTCGGCCACTGAAGATGGACGCTTTGATGTGGATGTTGTTGCTGACGTTGCTGGTACGGATGTGTGTTGTTTCGGTTGAAAGGAAAATTGAGATTGTTGGTTTTTGTTGAGGTTTCCATCATCGGCCGTCGTCTGTATGTCATCGTCAATAACACTACCGTCATCATCATCATCATCGTCATTACCATCATGCTCACCACCGCTAACATCGTCATCGTCGACATATTCATCGTCCTCAGAGCCTAGTAATTCGAACTCACTGTCATCACCAGCAACATAATCGTCAACTACACCATCTTCCGCATCATAGTCCTCGTCATCGTCAACGTAGCTGTTATTTTTGTTACTGCTGCTGTTGTTGTTGTTGTCGTCATCCATACTGTTTTCGTTGACATCATATCCTTTATAGTTGTAGCTGTTGTGGTCGTTGTAGTTTCGTTTGCCTACAGCCTTCGTCATAATTTTCTTTTCTTGGCCCACAATATTACCATGGCTATAATAACCAACAACATTGTCGACGACAACGGCTTTGTCAGCATTATCCTCAACACTGTCAAGACTTTTCAACAATTCATTGCTATAGTAGCCATAGCTGTGCGCCCGAGGCCTTCTGGGGCCAACACCAACACCACCTACACCACAACCGGGCATAACGTCGTCTCTAATATAATTTTCCCCATGACTGCCAATATAGTTTGTAGCTCTGGGCCATTGTTGTGTGTTTGCTGAATAGAGGTAGTAGTTGTTGTTGCCGTCGTCGTCGATTGTATTGCCAACAATGCAATCTGTTTTTGCCGACAACTCCCTTGAGTATTGATTGCTTTGGGGTCCCCTTTCAAATTGATTGTAGGCCTGTGCTGCATGTCGCCCCATATCTCCCAAGGGCTGGGCCATTGCTACCAATGGATTGGTGCTCGTGTGACCACTGTCACACACTTCATCAACGGCGTTATTCTCTTCTTGTGATAACCAATTTTTCCTTTTGTACCATTGCAGCGAAGGTCTACGTGATTTTGGTGTTGTAATTGAATGCACCTCGGGACATGATTCTCGATAATTATTGTTTAATCCCGATAGTGCAGGAGCATTCCTTCTATTGGCATCGCCAACAAAGTGGTGTGGTCCTTGGTGGTGGTGATGTTGGTTGTGGTGTTGGTCATGTTGCAGCTGTTGTATTGAAGTGTTTAAGTTTATGTCAGAACCATAGGATTGATTGCTAGGTTTTTTAACCATCATTGAAAATTGATTGCCTGCTACTTCTTCATCTACATCCGCTGTTTTGGCTCTTGGGGCCACCAAAGCCAGGCAGCTGCCACTTTTGGACATTTGTGATTGCATCCCCATTGAATAATGGTCGCGTACTTGCCAGCGACGTATTTGAGAGGAACTGCGACGATTCCTTGTCGTTGCCGTCGGCCCTGCCACAGACATATTGTCTTCAACCCCAATAACACCATCATCATGATCGTCCCCTTCTTCGCCATTGGCCGGGTAAGCCATACAGCCATTACTTTGGCTTAAAGCCCAGTCACGTTGCAGAGGCTCATTTTTCTCTGCCAACTTTGTTGGCATAGAAATACGGCTGCTGGTTGGATCTCTCCTCTGCTCGGTCCTGGTTATTTCGTTTCGTAAATTGTTATCGGAAATACTTTTATTTTGTAAAATTGTTGAATTTTGTTTCTTATTTGTGGCAAATAATTTTCGTAAGTTTTCATTACGTTGTTCCATCGAATTGCTTGTGCTGGCCTTACTTCCGTTTGACAATCTCGGTCCGCCGCCATTAGGGTTGACCTAAATAGTTTACAATAGTTTTGTATGCTTTCTTGTTTTCAAACAATGTTTATTTAACGAGAAATGTTTTCCATTTAGCAAAAGAATTGTTATTTCTTTAACAGCATTGGTTAGGCAAGCGAACCTATCTTGCAAACAACAGAGGTTTGTTATTTTTTTAAAAAAAAAGCTTTATGGGCTAGTGCATTTCCGACTGTTATGGCTCCGAATATTTTTATATTTAATTGGTAAAACAAAATGTGCACACATTAGTATTAAACATGGGCAAAAGAACATGTTAGTTGCAGCAAAAACAGGAACAATCAATAGAACATAAATAGGGACTATTTTTTAGAATATGTTTTTTTTTTGCGAAGGATTGTCAGCATTTTTAAAAATATTTTTGCTAGAAAACCATCACAGGCACATCGTATTTTTTTTTAATTCTTGACAATTGAAAATAATAGGACTTCTAGAGGTAGATTTATAAAATATTTCTGCAAAACTTTTATTACATATTTCGAAGGCTCATGAGATTACTCAATGTGAATTTGTGGATATATTTTTGAAATATCCAAAAGACCCCTAACCGTGGTCTTGTGAGACAACTAACGTAATTTTTAACATTATCTTTGAAATATATTCCGCCGATTAAGGAATTGTCCTCTTTTCTTCCTGAAAAATTTAGCTAAAGGCCACATTTTATGTAGAGCTTTGGAGTTTGAGATAAATCGTAATAGGTCTAGGCTGATTGATGTTGAAAAGGGCTATATCAGTTCATGCTTAGGTACGATTCCAAAAAATCCAAATAATCTTTGTGTTAAGTGAAAAATTTTATGCCGACTCACCAAAGGATTTTTTTTGTTTTTTTTTTTTTTAATATGGCCAAAACTCCCTTTGAACGGGATCGCAGAAAGTAAACATATTGGCAAAATTTTTTGTCATAAATGTCTACTATAGATCCCAGAATATAGTTTAAATCTAACATTTTTGGTAAAAAATGAACTTTGGGCGAGTACATGCAAAATTCTTCTACAAAGAATGGTGTTAAAAGAATGTGGTCAAGAATATTCCTCATCAAATTTCTGTAAGAGTCACAAAAGACAAGAAATCTCTATTTTCATTATATATCAAGAAAATATCCTATTTTTTGTGATCGACAATATTTCTCGTCCGATTTTTCGATTTAATGCATGAAATTAGCACCACATTTTGTTTTAGGCCGAAATTGTCAAAAGACACAAAGTGTCACTATAAATCTCAGAATAAACCATACATCTACATTTAATAATTGCTAAGAAAATTTAAAAAGTGGCATCAATATATTCTATTTTGCAGTGAATAAAATAAATGATTTTAGCTCCAGAATACAAAAATTGTAAAATTTTAAAAAATCTGGCTTTTCTACTATAATCATATTTATACCCTACAACACTATATGTTGGGGGTATTATAAGTTTGATTGGGCCAAAAATTATGTAACACCACGAAATATTGGTTTCCCACATAGGAAAGTATATATGGATCTTCCTATCTCGCCGAACTGAGGCGATCTAGCTATGTATGTCCGTCTGTCTGTCTGTCCGTCTGTCCATGTTAATTTGTAATCACTCTACAGGTTGCAATTATGGCCCGATCTTCACGAAACTTAGAATGGAGTTGGGGTTGGGGTCTATTTATTTTGGAGATGATCGCATAATATTTAGGGATTGAAATGGACCAAAACCTGAAAAAATTCTTGATTTTGCAATTGCTCTATAGGTCGCAATTATAGGGCTTAGGGCTGGGCCGAAGCCTTCCAATTTTGATGGTCATCGGGTAATATTTAGTGGATAAAATAGACCATAACATTTGTGTTAAATAAAAGTCCAATTTTTCATTAGGCCGCGAATATTTTTAATCCCTCAATTTGACTTTTAATATTTGATAATATTTTTTCACCTTACAACACAGTTTGGGGATATTATATAAGTATTGCAAATATCGTCCGATCCTTACGAAAATTCTCACAAGCGTAGAGTTGGGCTCAGAAGGGCTAGTCCTATTGTTTTCAAAGATGTCCGCAATATATTAGGTTTTAAATGGACCAACAACTAAAAATTTTCCTGATTTTGCAGCCGTTATAAAGGTCACAAATAGAAACCAAAGGACACGAAATCTCGCATAAAGTTAGAGTTTAGAACAGCGGGTAGAATGGACCACTAATTTTGTGTGAAAAAATACCAGCATTACTTACAGGCGATATACGAAATACACAAAACGCAAACTTCTGGCTTTTTTATGCTGATTTCGTTGACGAATATAGCCAAATATCGTAGACAAGGAAATCATATAGATGAGTCTAAATTCGGAGATACAGAGGGGCTTCTTGCTTTTGGAGATGATTTCAAAAAATTTAGGGGTTCAAATTAACCAAAAACAGAAATGTTTTTCCGATCACACAATTGAAGACAATCGACACGCCTGTGAAGAGAGTTAACGACAGGGAAGAATTCTAGCATTTTGGATGAACATTGGATTCTATTTAGCTGTAAAATGGAACACAACAACTAACAGTTCGACGGAGTGCAGTAATATTAGGCAAATGAACCTAGTCAAAATCCTAATTTCAAAAGCGAAATATTCCAATATGGATTTGGACATAAGGGGGCTTCTAACATATTGTTGTGTTGTAGGGTATAACATAGTCGGCCCCACACGACTATAGCCTTTGCTTACTTGTTTCTGTATACAATTCTTTACTTTTCAAAAAAAAAAAAAAAAACTGATTTTCTATCACTTTCATTTCATTGTTCAATGAAAACTCCATTTCAATCACTTTCATTTTCAATACCACCATTAAGGCGGTCCTGCAAAAAAATCCATTAAATTTTAATAATCAACCAAATTGAACCGACGAACAAACCTTCTGCCATATGTCCAACGAACAATGAATTCTATGACAATAGCAATAACTCAAATCAAATTTGAAATGCAATCCTGCAATAAAATATATTACCAACAGTTACTGTAACTGCAATATAAACTTCTAGAGAAATGGAAAACCTTTCAAATCCGAAGATTTTTATTTTCTATTTTTTTTTTTTTTTGCAAGATGAAAACATGGGAAGGCTGCGCAACAAAACATATCAAACAAATAAATTTTACAAAGATATACCACACAGAAGTAAACAAACTTTCTTACTCGCACCCAAGACAACAACAACAACAGGAAGAAAGTAAACCCTATTGCACAAAAAATCTATATCTCTGAAATGCATTTAAAATCGTAACGAGTCGAAAGTGGTTTTCTACAAATCAAACTTTTTTTATTGGGCGACCAAAACGATGGAACGGGCAAAGCAAACGAAACCTAACCAAAAGATAAATGTGTGTGTGTGTTGCTTTTTGTGTGGGAAAAATTGCTTAGAAGGCTATTTGATGCAGCAAACTACATCATCATTGGGAGCATTGTTCAATAGATTACAATCCTCTTAAGTACTCTGCCAAGTAAAACTTTAAACGAATTACTCGAATATGATCGAGTTGATGGAAACATTAGTGCAAGTGCTGTCATGGCATATTATGGCATAGCATGAAAGTAACTTCTTATATGGCCGTTTGCTTTCATTCTTGCAGAGTTTTTTATTCTCAGTTGTTGTCGTTGTCGTTGCTGTTCTTGTTGTAGTTGATCAAATATGGAACGGAGTTGCTTCACCAGATAGCATGAAAGCAAACAATTTTTGTGGTCCTTTTTGGGTTTGCCTTTATTTGGCTCTGTTGGCAGTAACATCCATGTTAAGGAAAATTACACAAGACATAATAAAAGTTGAATATGTCACAGTCATGTAATTGTGTCAGAAGATAAAAAAAACGGTACCCTACATTTTTCTAAGGGGGGCGGTAATTTCCATTGGGGAAATTTGTCATATGGGACAATATGGGGTTTTTTCGAATCCATCAACAAGGATGCCTCCTCCTAAAACAGTCTATTGCAGATGGAAGAGAGAGAGAGGTCTCAATCGAGGGTTCGATGACAAACCTGCGACCTTTGCGCCATGGTGAAGTTATAATTATTCGCACTTTCTTTGAAGTGGCCATCTTCGGGGTCCAAATTTTTGTGGTTTGGGCTTCGGCGTTTTTCTAAAACCTAGCCCGGCTTCCTTGTAAAATCATCATGTTGGATCCAACCACAGTCAACCACACCCAAAATGATGATCTCACAAGAAATTTGGCACTTGGTGCCAGGTTAGATTCAAGAGAAATCGCAAGAATTTTGACGCTACATTCTCTAAAGGTATATTTTTAAATTCGTTCATGTGGCAGAACCATGTCTACGTAAGTCCACGTTTTCCTTCAGGCCCCATATAAGGGACTTCCTGATTTTAGTGTTTTGACGATTTTAGCCACACTTTCGAACAGAATGACTTAAAATTCATTATTTGGATTCCGTAATGGGTTTCTATACTATTTTTATTTGGAAGAAAATATATATCCTCTGGAAGGTACCCTCGATATGACATTTTGAAGAGTCCTGTATGTCGACCATGTCTGGCTACTTGACAATAAACATTTTTTGGTTTATGTTAGAACATAACAAAAGGATTAAATATAAAAAATGTAAAAAGAACAATTGAAAAAACAACATAAATGCAGCAATGGCATTAAAACAACAAGAACAACAACAAAAACAACTTGCCAAAAAATGTAAGCCGTAAGCGAAAGTAAACAACTACTTACATTGTTGGAACTACCACCACCGTCTCCAACGCCAGCAACAGTACCACTGCTCTGGCTTAATAGCCGTGCAGTAAAAGGCATTTAAGAGATTAATGTTTTCTGGAGCGAGAAAGGTGAACGCTTAAATTCTAACTGAAATTGATTGTAAGCCTTTTTCGGTATTGTTATTCGGTGGTGTAGCAGTAGCAGTGCTGGTTTTCCGCTAAGGCCAAGAAGGACTCTTGACCAAATGCAGAATACAATATTTTGGAAGGGGAAGGCGGGTGGAGGGTCGGTGCAATACAAACAAACTTTCTGAAGAGTGTTTGATTGGTGCTTGGGGCGCGGACGTAGGAGGTCGGCTATGCTGTTGATCGATTGTAAGGGTTTGTTGTTGGTATCACTAGTTTGATTGTTTGATTCTCGCTTGGTTGATTGCTTGTTTGGGGATTTTGGAGGTTTGCCCACACAAGTTTTGGTTGTTGCTTTCTTTTTTCGGTTTTTGGTTTCTCAAGGATATCGGAATAGCAAATACAAGATATCAAAGGCTATACAAAGTTTCGATGCATCGCATTGTGCTCAGAGGAAGAGGAAACTACAAAAGAACAAATAAGAAAAGAAAGAAAGAAAGAAAAAAATACAAATCAAAGAGAAAAAACGAAAATCATTTAAACGAAATAAAAAATAATAATAACGATGGAAAAAAAAACGCTAGAAGAACAATTGGAAGCGGCTTTTAAACAGCAAACAAAAAATATTTTTTCTTGTTTTTTTTTTTTTTTTTTGGGAAACGGAAGTGCATTAGCAAAACACTTTAAGAAAATATGAGGGTAAGGTCATATGCACACACACACTTGCATACATGTGTGTGTGTGTATAATATTCTCATCTGCTCACACTATTGTGAAATTTATTGTTAAAAGCATGACACACTTTTATTTGGATTGCCCAAAAAAGGAAAGAGAAACGGTTCGGAAATAAGCGCAGGTTTATGTGTGCTGGCAACACTTGCCATTTCTAATAAATCTGTTTTCGCAATATTTACAGTGCCGGGAAACAAGTTAAAATAGATTTAGGCCATGTTAATAAATCAAATTATAATCATTTCCCCTAATAGAGTTTTTTAATTGACTTTTACTAAAGATAACATTTTATACTTAAGAGCAAAAAAAAACTCCAAAATAAGTATATTTCTTTAAGAATTATAATTTTCATCCAAGTTTTTTAATAGTTAGAATATTAAAAGGTGAAAGGGAAGTTTCATATCAACAAAATTTGTTTGGCAGACCCATATGATCAGGCGAAGCTAGCTCTAAAAAAATTAAATAAACCCTCAGCATTTGGCCATATATTTTTTGTGTTTATATACCATTTTTGGGGGACGTACCATGAAGATTCGAAAATACCTCTATACTGGGTCTAATGTTTAAAGAATAATGGTAATGTGCGAACATTGTGCAGAAGTCAGAAATAATATAGCATTTAATGACGGATATGATTATTGAAATTGTTTATTTATTGCAGCAGAATTAGCAGAATGTATAGACCACCATATCTCAATGCGATGCCATAAAAAGTAGGCCAATATTTTCCATGTTTAAAATGACGTCTATAGTCATTATTGTTTGGTAAATTGTTATGAATAGATTAACTCCAGAACAACGCTTCCAAGTAGTGGAAATTTATTTTCAAAAAACAGTCTTCCATTAAAAATGTGCTCTATACTTCGTGCATTTTTTTATTTAAATTCTAAATCCGTAAGCTCTTAGAAAAACACCCATTACTTCCACATACCATACTTGGACTTTGTGGGCTGTATGACTCGTTTTATACAGGGAGAGATGCAAAAACTCCAACCAACTTCAGATTGCTATCATTTTTAAGTCATTCCAGTTTCAGCTCATTATATTGTTTACAAGCTTAGGAAAGCATTTGGTGAGAATTTTCCAGAAAAAAGTTATTCGTGATGGAATTCAAGCGTAATAGTGTGATTTCTTTATATTTGGCTGGAAAATCACAAGCGGCTATCGTTAGAGCACTTCAGCATTTAAATGTGAATAAATCTTTTGAGTCTCGTACCATCGCTCGTTACCGTGATACTGGTAGCGTAGACCGACGTCAAGGAAATGGACGGAAGAAATCAGCAACATCAGGAGAAATGGTTCGAAAATTAAAGAAGCGACTTATCGAAAACCGGGTCGCAGTGGTCGAAAAATTGCTCGTGAGCTGAACATATCGCAATATTCCATTCGGCGAATATTGAAAAATGAAGTCGGGGTAAAGCCATTGAAATTCCAAAAAGTGCAAGAATTTACACGGCAACAGAAAGGAAATAGACCCACAAGAGCTAAAGAGTAGCTTCGCTTGACCCAATGAGAAGACATTGGTTGTCCAGCAGTTTGTTAACAAACAAAATTATCGTGTTTACTTGCCAAAGAGGTTGACCACCAGACTTCAAACGCCGGCCATGGTGATGGTGTAGGCTGTCATAACAGCCGATGGTCGCTCTCCGCTCGTATTAATCGACCGTGGCATCAAAATAAATGCCGAATATTATGGCGAAAATATTCTGGAGGGTGTATTAATGCCTGGGCAGGCAAACATTTTGGCCGCAGACCTTGGACATTCCAACATGACTCAGTGTCATAGCATAGGCGCGTGCTTAGTGCCACCCAAGAATGGTTACAAAATGAGGTTCCTCACTTCATTTCCAGCGCAAAATGGCCACCAAAATCTCCGGATACCAATCCGTTGGACTATTGTGTGTGCAAAATGAGGTTCCTCACTTCATTTCCAGCGCAAAATGGCCACCAAAATCTCCGGATACCAATCCGTTGGACTATTGTGCGTGCAGTATTTTGGAAAGCAAGGTTGCCACTAAAAAATACCAAAGTGTCGATGACCTCAAGCGGCGGGAATGGGCCAAAATACCGCAGAGCAACATTCGGGCAGCGTGCGACGGTTTCATTGGCCGTTTGATTCGTGCCAAAGGTAACCAATTCGAACAAATCTAAACTTATTCTAAAATTTGATGCTATTTCCGACATTTGTTGCTTTCATTCAATAAAATTTACTAATGATGGCGTTTGACTTTCTTGTAGTTTTTTTATCTTACCCTGTATATCCTTGGTCTCTTAAGGACTTGGAAACATTCGGTTTTCTAAAAATTTAAATTTGACCTCTAAATAATAAATGGGAAATATTCCCAAATTATTTCAAGAGCACGCCTACAAATACGCAGTAGAAATCCCATTAAAATTTGTAAAATCGGTGAAGACACAAAAGAGTTTTAGGCCAAAGTATATAGCCCGGCGGCTCTTCTGTGATAGAATGTCTCTTTATCACTCTTCTTACACCATCTACATAAAATCTGATTATACACATTGTTTGGGGGGAAATAAAAAAACCTCTTTCTATGCCCATAAATATTTGCTTTGATTGTTTTCTCTAGGTGTTGATTATAAGATAATCTAAGATATCACAATTTTCTAGTTAGACATTTCTACATCCTTGTAGATTCATATCAGCTACATACCAGCATCTACATAATTTGAAAGAAAAATCACCCCCAATAAAAATCATTCAATAAAATTTAAAAAAAAAATTTAAAATTATGACGTTTGATGTTGTTGCAGTTTTTTTTTTTTATCTCATCCTGTACATATGGATATTTTCAACATTCTTTATCTTATTGAATTTCGGAAGGGTAATTTGTGTGAAAAGGTTTGTAGTTACATTTTGGACCCTTGAATGAATAACTGCAAATGTTCAATGGCATTGTCTAGATTTAAAAATTGTTATATTAAGGGTTATAACATCATCGCCTCATACTGTAAATTTAACATTTTACATAGTATCAGTAGCACAATACCAAAGCAAAGTATTGCAATCGATTCCATACAATTTACATAAAATATGAAACAATTCGTGATATATTGCTTAGTTAAAGTGCTACGAAATACAAAAACAACAACCAAAACAACTGGCTTCAATAAAAAAAAAAAAACGAAAAGTTGGTAGCAAATGCTGACAATCGAGCGGATTATTGTTGAACGATATGGCGATGATGATGATGATGATGTTGACGATGGTGATGATATTTCCCAAGACATGTTTGAAGATTGTGATACGAACTATTATTTCTGCAAGTGTTTGTTTGTAAGCAGCAAATGTTTATGGCTGTGAAATTTCGAAAGGATGTCAAATTCACTTTTATGCAATTTCCCATAGTTTTGCATTTTCAACATAAGAGAAAAATTTCATATTTACCGAACAGAAAGTAAGATGCTAAAGTGTGCTGAAATGTATGTATGCGTGTATAAAGATGGGTTATGTTGAGGAGTACATTGCAAAAATGCAGAAAGTCCCTAACAAAAAACCATTTTAGATGTAAAAGGTTTTGAACAAGCATTCCTAAAAAAGTCTGCAATTGTAGATCTGATAGTGTGGAAATATAATATTAAACCTTTGTCATTTTAGCACAGATAACCCTTGTATATTTTACAATGAAAGTCAAGAACATGGTACAATAAAGAGGTAGAACAGCTTCGTAAAACTACAGAACTGCAGCCCTGAGTTTTTATTTTTCAAAACAACAAATACATACACAAAATTGGGAGGAGTCCGGCACACCTAGAAAAAAGAAATGGGATCAGCTGGGAGCTCTACCTTACATTTTTATTGTACCATGGTCACAATTATGCATCGAAAATCATTGAAAAAAATATAGCAGGACCATTTTTCCAAGAAATTCACGACTGTGCCTCTGATAGTTGATGGCCATTAAATTATAGTTCTGATAGTCCTCAAAAAAAACACGTAAAAATCTGTAAGTTCAACCTGGGCGAACGTTGAATACCCTCCACCATTTGGAACCAATTTGGCAGTTTTCACAAAAATAAAATCAGTTGAAAATTCTGTTAAAATCTTATAAATACCGAATATAGCTGTTATATTTGGGTCTATACGAAGACATGGACCTGCATAGGCAACTTTTGTCATAAGCTATTACAATATTCAAATGCGAAACTGGAAAAAATCGGCGAATAATGTAGCTAAAGTCATCAAAATACCGACTATCGGGAAGTACCATTATAAAGGGGCTATACCAAACGTGGACCTGCACGGAGTATCTTTGGAGTATCCATTACGAATTTCAAATACCAATTTTGAAACAAATCCGGTTAATTAAGTAACTTAAACCATCCAAATACCGAATATCGCGAGGTACCGTTATATGGGGGCTATACGAAGACGTTGACCTGCATATAAAATTTTCTGTCTTAGGCTGTACTATCCATTATGAGCTTTATATACCAAATTTGAAACATTTCCGGTGAATAATGTCGCTTAAACCGCCAAAATACCGAAAATATGGGGGATATACCAAAACTTCGACTTACATGGCCCATTTTCAATACCAAAAGTCCTGCAAATGTATCCTGTCATTTGAGTAAAATTTTATCAACGTACTTCATTTCGTTCGGAAGCTAGAGTGATTTCCACAGACAAATGGACATCGCTAAATCGACATAGAATTTGCCGATCAAGAATATATGTACGTTGTGGGGTCTAAAATGTACATTTCGAGGTGTT